TGTGTGTCCCCCCCCCTTTTAAGACACTGGTTTTCCTTCCCAGCTCTGAACACTCTTTAACTAAACAAACACTGAGCGCATTAGAAGGCAAGAGTCTTGCAGGAACAGCACAGAACCGCTATTTTATTTACCAAAACAACCGGGATGTTCACCTACTGCTCTCAGTGCTGAAGTGCTGCAGGATCTTGGCCAGGTACCCGCTGTTGGCAAGGTCAGTCACAGCCCCAGGGCAGTTTGGGATCAGCAGGGCGTGGTACCGAGCCCCTGGTCAGGAGGAAAGCGTGGGCTCATTGTAACACAGGTAACAAACCAGAAATACTGACCCTAAATACACTGCAGGTTGGATAATAAAAGAGGGCAAATCCACACGCAGTCAAAAAGGAACTAAAGATATTAACAGACCCATGTGGGGTAGAGAAAAGGTCCCTGTTAGGACAAGGAACGTATTTTTACTGAGCTGTGCTTACCCAGGCAACACAACTGTTCTGTCTGCTAGCTTCCATTCAGCAAAATACTTATTTTTAACCATCAACAATGAAGTGTGTGTGTGTATATATACAAGAGACAGAGATTATATATACTGTATCTATCAAGAGAATTACCAATCCCAGACAAATAAAAAACAACAGTGCAGTTGCCAGGACTACTTCTTAAATAAAAAATAAACAACTGCAGTTGCCATTGTTTTCTCTTAGAACACAAAGTTTTATGCCATTCCCGTGTCATTCTTCCCTGAAAACCTAGCCCTGAGCAGCATCTGTTCCCCTGCCAGTGCAGATGACAGTGACCCTGGGGAAGCTCTCACCATCAATGGACTCCAGCTTGGCGGGGTTGGCGTAGGATTTCATACGGAAGTCCTGGATCCAGCGCGTGTTGCCCTCATTCACATCCACAAAATCAATTGACTTCCCCTGGGGACAGCACAGTTCACATGGTTAGGATCCCTGCACAGACACCCACCACACTTCCCCAGGGACAGCCATGTGGGACTTTGGGATGCTTCAGCTCTCGAAAACCTCAGGTTTTCCACTTTCCCACTTAATTTATTCTAATAGTTCTCCCTCCTGACAAACTCTGAGTGCAATTCTCTCATGTCAATCAACATATCAATTAGCTCCAGACTGAAATCTCTATATTTGCACATTTTTACTTACCCCAGGAGTTGCAACTTGCAGGTTAAAAGCAGAGCTAGCCAGAGTAAAGCAGTGAAGGAAGGACTGGGCTGAGACACCTGAAAAATAGATCCCAACACCTTAAGGAAACAACAGTGATAGTTTAATCCCAGCCACACTAGCTCAGTTTATCTAGTAAAGTACACCTTGCTAATCTTAAAAGCTCTAAATTTTAGAGAATTTTTTTTCATGATTTATGATTCATGATTCTATGATTGTAAGAAATAATAAGTGTATAACCTTCATTACAGGTGACCTGCATATTGAGGAACAGAATCAGAGAATCCAGGAATGATTTAGCTTGGAAGGAACCTTAAAAATCACACAATTCCACTCCCTGCCATGGGAAGGGACACCTTCCACTAGAGCAGGTTGTTTTAAGCCCCACCCAGCCTGGCCTTGGACACTCCAAGGGATCCAGGGGCAGCCACGGCTTCTCTGAGCAACTTGTGCCAGGCCTCCCCACCCTCACAGGGAAGAATTTCTTCCCAATATCCAATCTAATCTAAAGGAAGGCAGCCTCCTTAAGCTGAAGCCACCAAAGCCACACGCAGAGGGACACGGCTGCACCGGCAGGCAGCACCGGCAGTGCAGGCGGGCACGTGTGGGACTCAAGCACAGCCCACATAGCCCGGCAGCAGCCGCGGGGTGTCCGCACCGCCGAGCGGGGACCGCACCGCTGCGGCCGCGGGGCTCGGCCGCCCGCACCGCCACACGCACAGCCGGCACGCCACTATCGAGGATGACAAGCCCCGCCAGCGGCGCAAACACACACGGGAGGTCACTGCCCGAACACGGCGGGTACAGGGGACACCGCGCCCGACGAGCGCTGAGGAGGGTGGGGGCGCAGGGCAGCCGCGGCCGGAGCGAACCTGAGGGATCCCCCCGAGAGCGTCTCACCCGCGGTAGCGGCGCTGGCGACGATGAGGCAGGAGGGCTTGGCGAGCCGGTCCGACATGGTGCGGGGCGCGGAGGGGCCCGGCTGCGGCTGTGGGGAGGAAAGAGGCGGACACCGCCTCATGCGGCCGCGCGTGCGCCGAGGGGCGGGAAGCGCCGGGGGGCGGGAGGAAAGGCGGGAAACCGGAAGGGCGGGAAACCTGAAGGGCGGGAAGCATTGCGGGGGGTGTGCCCTCCAGGGTACCTTTTAAAATCCCTCAGTGAGCACATGGTGCCGAGTAGCACCTGAAACTGCTTGTAGTTGTTTTATTACTTTTCCTTCATTAGGTTGATATTGGCACCCTGTGGGTCTGACGTTCAAAGGTTATCGTAGGCATCGCCCCGCCCCCGGGAGCGGGAAGTGGGTGATACTATAGTGTGGGTTAAAAATGGGAAAAGCAACTTAATGTCAAAATGTTGGCTATTTTTTGACATCCCACTGCAGTGATGGGTTCAGCCCTTTCCCGCCACCACACGATATTCCTCCTCAGCCAATTAACACCATAAGCCTCCCAGAAACCCCAAGCTGCCACAGCGTGGTTTATTCTGCTACTGACACAGGAGATAAGGAGGAACAAAAGTCCTTTGACAAGCCAAAGCTGGTTTTAAGTCACTGGTTTAAGCTGTTATTGGCTTACACTATTTTTTAAGTTATTTAAATCGCTCCGGTTTTGCTCCCTCTCCCCCTGAGGACAAATAACCTCAGGGATGTTGTGGAGGGACAGATGTACATCCTGCTCTTTCACATCCCTGAAAAAGCCACAACTGACCATGTTCTATGGGATGGCAGGAGATGCACAAGGATCTGTCAGAGTGATTTGCAGAAAATAATAATGGGGGAAACAGTGAAGAACTGTGTCATTTCTGTGATTCTGTGATATTGTGGAGCCACTGGAATGAGCACCAGAACCACAAACTAAATCAAGTCATGCAAACTTCCCTGCAGCTGTCCTTCCCATGCCTGCTCCAGATTGCCTCCTTTCTGTACATTCTTAACCTTTAACTGAGCCATTATTCTTCAATAAAAATGTTTCTTTATTGCAAGCATTACTCTTTTCTGTAGGGAAAAGGCATTTTTGTAAACCTCGTTCACTTTCTGAATTTACATTTTTCATCGCTGTGTTAATTTAATTGGTTTATCCCCCGCTGGTTGCTGGTGTATTGCAAACACAAGGCCATTGTAAAATGATAGATATAACATAGAGAGCATAAAATTCTGCTGTTATTTTTATTTGTTTATTTGAAAGGGCCTAATTTCTAGCCTGGTTTCCTAAAGGAAATGTAGCTCATGCCATCTTGTCCATCTCTTCAGTCACCTGTCTGTCTCCTTTTCTCTCCAAAAGCGTGCTCTGAATCCATAGGCTGGTTAACTGTGGAGACACCTGGATAGTCCTCTATCTTTGCTCCAGTTCAGATACCAGAAAATTATTTAAAAACAAACAAACACCAACAAAACAAAACCCAACCAAACAAAACCAAAAATCAACCGAAACCAAACCCAAAGCAATTTTTCCACTGTTCAGTTTAGCTGTTGTGCAGGGGACTCGGGGACTTGGGGATACTCCAGCAGCCTAAGCCTTTATGGCACTAAGCATCACATCTATGCTGTTATTCCCTGCTTGTGAATCCAGTGCTTTTTAAATAAATACAAAAACCAGTGCTGTCTCAACCCCTGCTCTATCAGCTCTTCCCATCCTCCCTAGACTGCACAAAATACAAAGTATTAGAGGACTTGACAGTGATTAAGGAGCATGAGAGTGCTCAGGGAGATTTAAGTGCACAGTGATATCTTAATACTCCATCTCCCACTGCTCAGCAGGAGCCAGTGCCTGGGGTTTGCCGGAGAAACATTTTGCAAAAGGTCTTCTCTGGAAGGAGATGGGACACAGAACGTGTGGATGGGAGATAAGGCCCCCACCCATTCCAGCCTCTCAGCTTCACCATTCCCACTCAGAAAACAGGGATTTATTTGCTGTCCTGTTCTTATGACTATGAAGGCAACCTAAAACTTTAGTTCTCAGCTGTGTTTCTGCATCAAAAAAACTCAGATAGTTATGCTTTTGCAAGTGAAAGCTGCCCCTTTTTCCTAACCCCATGGAATTCACAGGATTTTTCTTCCCGGTTCTTGACAAATTAATTTCCAAAAGTCCACAGACTTCTGCAGGGCCCCTGTTAGGAGCTGGTGTAATGTGACATCAACTCTTTGCAGTGACACGTGCTACCAAAATCCTCCTGCCCTACCACAGCGTGAAGGGAATTGATGTGCAGGGACCCCTGCACAGATATCAGTCACGTGCTCAGGAGATTGTTTATTTTTAAGGAAAAGTGTTCTCAGGTCATCCTAGAAACAAACCCAAGGAAATCAGCCTAATTTGTCAGGGAAGAAGTCAGAAAAAGAACTGGAGACCAGCCTGTGGGACAGGGAATCCCTGGGATCAGAAAGGTTTCCTCAGTGGCTCTGGGTAAATGCTTAATTCTATTTAGTTCCAATGTGGCAATAACAATAATCATCCTCTCCTTGCTTTCCTTGGGCAGGCTGGAGTTTACTTGGGGCAGGAACTGCCTTTTCTCACAGTTCTCACTGGAATCACTAATCCTAGAAAATACTGAGCTTCCAGGAAACATGGACATGGAATCCTGGAATGGTTTGGGTTGGAAGGGACCTTAAAGATCATCCAGTGCCACTCCTTGCTGTGGGCAGGGACACCTTCCACTAGCCCAAGTTGCTCCTGGCCCCTCCAACCTGGCCTTGGACACTGCCAGGGATGGGGCAGCCACAGCTGCTCTGGACAGCTTTCCGTGAGTGAGGAGGGAGAGGGAGCGCAGGCATTTTCACTCGCACCCCCACGGACACAAAGATGCTCGCAGGAGGAATTATACAATATCTCTGTGTGTGTGTATATATCTCTATATATAGTTTATTTCTCACAATCCTGGTAAGAGTTACAGGTGTATTTGGGAATCATTTACAGTTTCACAGCATATGGAGTGACCATACAGCTTGTGACGTGAGTAACATACAGTGTGTAGAGAGCACACGTTTCCGACCCATCCACCCACCACTCACACAATGGGTTTCCAAAGCTAATACTAGATTCAGCTACGGAGAAAGCCTGGAAAATGTTAGGGTACAGCGTTGGGTGTCACACAACACTGTCAGTCACAATGGGACAAGCTAAACTACTTTAAATTTTCAATCTAGTATTTCTAGTCTACCTGCATTATTGCATTTATACGCTTTTTTTGTTTTTAAAGTCAAAGTAAATAGAATACTATATGGGAAAGGAAAAAATTCTTGACTATTTTAGGATTTGAGCTGCAGCCCATACAAAGTGTCCATAGAAGCATAGACAAGATTATAAATTCAACAAGGTATAAATTAGCTGGATAGCTTTGTGTGTAGGTAGGTGTCCATTTCCCTCCAGGAAATGTGTCCAGCAGCATATTGTTTCCGAGAGCAAAAAAAACCCAAACCTGTATGTTGAACACAGGTAAATACGTGTAAGTGACAAGCAGGTCTGTTTGCACAGGGAAGAAACCAAGGTGTCACTCGGAAAATTCCTGTCACTTGGAAAACACATTCAGGAGCTGACTCAAACCCCACCAAAGTCCTCAGAAAGATGCCTGAGGCTTCCAAAGGAGCAGCAGGCATTTCCCTGCTCTCAGCGTTTGAGCTCTCAATCTGACTTCCAAGGGCTTTGGATCAGTCCCTGGAGAAGTAACAGAATCCAAACAAACCAAAAGCAAAGAAAAAAAATCCCCTGTAATCTGACCTTCAAGTTACCTTCCTACAGTTTTTCTGCACAAATTTATAAGCAACCTGCACCTACCACTGGCAGAGAGTTGGTTTCCTGGGGAGTTGCAATTGCAGCTTTTAAAGGCTTCAATTGAAATGGTCCTGGGGTAAGGCACCAGGCTGCTCAAAACTTAGTCAAGCCAAATTATTCCCCTGTTGGTTTGTTTGTTTGTTTGTTGTTTTTTTACATGACAACATTGTGTGGCACCCTTGTTCTCATCAATCTGCCCCAGACACTTGGCTGCTTGAAGCTGTTGAGGCAAAACCAGGGATATGATGCAGGACTTAACTGTTGCAAAGGTGATAAAAAAGATTCCTCTTGTCCTCGTGGGAGCTTTGGTACTGCAGCATCATCACTCAGACAGTAATAACCTGTAGATTCATGCTTGGGATGCTGCACAGGGGCTGAGAACTGGAAAAATAATGGAATTGCTTGTCAATTTCAAGCTGGGAGCAACCGGGAGAGAAACAGGAACAACAGGCTCCAAAGCTCATGTAACCCAAGTGATGTTTTCCAGCAGAAAGAAAAATAATCTATTTAATTTGAAGAGCATCAAAGAGCTGGGAGCACAAGTCCCAAAGTACTGCTGTTGAAAGGAGCGAGCATAGCTGTAGCACAAGGCAGATCCAAAGTCATTTGGAAATCCAATGGCTCTGATCTCTCACGGGACTTTGAGGCTTTGGCCATGAGCTTATTATGGTTAATTGAGGGAACTGTGAATTTTCAAGGCCCAGCAGTCCCACAGTGCTGCATCACACGGTACCACCCGAGCAGCCCATTCAAACAGGAAATTCCTCATGGTTTCTGTGTCCTCAACCCTGGCACACCACCTGATCCTTCCAGGCCAGCAGAAATGCAGCTCCTTGGCTTCAGAATCTCTCCTCCCCACATAGTTTTGGTGCTCCAGAGGACTGAAGGAGCACCGGCTTCAGCTGAGTGCAGCGTTATGTTCACACCGAGTCAGCACCTCCCAAGCAGCCAGGACACCTCACAGCTGACTGACAGCTCAGGACAGGGAAGGGACCTTCCTGTGGGTTTGTCATCCAGTGCCAATCCTGGGGCAGACTGACACCCTCACAGACCAGGGCAGACAAAAGCTTCACACATTCCCTGCTGTGCCGAGCACCGTCTGTCTGTTTTGGGGAGCACCCAAAATCTGCCTCATCATGAAAATGATGTGAGGCTCTTGCCTACCCCTATAGATTTCTCCCAGCTTTGTGGTGAAGAGAATGAGACCACAGCAAGATGCTACACAGGTCAGGAAGGGAATCAGCTTTGCCAGGAATAAAAGAAGTGAATAGGTTATAAAAGTTAACATGTCCTCACCAAACCTGTTAGGACGATTAAATAGTGCTTTTTCTCTCCTCACTTTTCTGCTCTGTTCTTTGCACACTCTCAGAGTCTTCACTGACTTGAAGCTTTCCAAGGAGCTGACTGAAATTCCAAGAATTTCACCTTTCAAATCCATTTTTTCATTGTCTTCCCTTTTTTGGTTCGTTTCTCAAAGCATCCTTTTCCTCTCCAATCTTCAACACTGTTATTTTCAACCAGTTCGAAGAATAGTTAAAAGGCTGTTGAATTCCAAACCCCCATAGCATTTCCAGGAAAAGCAGGGAATGTTTTAAGGCAGAAATCACGTCTCACTAGCTCCAGGGGTTTGGATTGCACTGTTGTTATTGATGTCAGTATAATCAGGGCTGTGAGCACGGCTGCCTCAGAGAAGACTTTCCTTATACTCAGCTCCAGGGCTAAGGAATGCTTGTGTCAATTTTTTAAAGAAAAGTGTAACCGATAGGATTTTATGATGACCTGCAATCAATATCCCTGGTGCCAACAAGACCTCAAAGGCCAGAGCATATTGAAAACAATGGAAAAACTCCCCTTGTTTTCAGTGTTCTATGGAACATCCCCTAAACTTTAATCCAGCAGAGACACGAACCCATGTCTAATTTATAACCCAACCCAAGGGAACTAAGAAGTGCTTCAGGGCAAGTGCCTGTTCAGTGCTTTGAGCGAGCCCCAGGTGAACAGGACCTGCAGGAATGTGTTCTTACCCTCCCAAAAATGCTGCTGCATTATCCTTTGGCTGCCACATTTGTTTGCATCCCACTGCAGCACTGTTGGGAGGAACAGGATTTATCCACAGGCTATTAAATCAGTAGGAAGAGGAAGCAGAAGCGTAATCCATTTCATCTCTCTTAAAAGAGAAGCAGCAAAAACCTTCTAGTGAGTTGTCCGAGGGAGCATCATGACATCTTTGCATTCAACTAAAACTTAGGGTTCCTTAAAAATAGACTGAGATCGGGTTGCATTCATTAAATCTGTAGTTTTAGTGATAAGCTAAAAGGCCTGAAACCAATTTTGCAAATTTATAATTTATCAACTTGACCGAAAGAGTAAACTAGCAATCTAGATCTCTCCAAACTCCAAGAACAGAACCTGATTAGTTGTAAGCGTTAATTCACTCTCCCCATGGAGATGGCACTGGGAGGACTTCATACCACGAACACCACACGGAAAAGAACAGCAAGCAAATAACGGCGTGTGCTCAGTACGAGAAGAGACAACTATTTATTTAGCGCAGCGAGTTCAGTCAGTTCAGCCTCCTGCTTCCACAAGTTCGGGGCTGGGAGAGGGGAATTCGCCCTCTCAGTTCTCGCTGGACATGTTTGGCTCGAAAGGAAAGCACTGCACAGCCTGGCACATTAAGGCAGGACAGGAGGTGTTTGCAAGTCAGGGCTGAGGTGTGTTGTGGCATCTACACTGGATCTACCTGACTCAACACTAGACCCACACTTCAAAAAGCGCCACAGAACAGTCTGGTAGAGTCTAAAGGTGCCTTGTTTTGAAGCAAAGAGCCCACACGACTATCCAGGGAGGGGAACAGGGATTTGGAGCTTCTAGGACAGCAGGCACACCGGACATTCAGCAGTTCACTAGCCAGACATTCTTTGCACTGAGGAGAAACCAGGACTGAAAAGGAATTCAGGTACTGCATGACATGGTGGGAATGGCACAGAAAAGACACCACAGACACTTTGTGTGAATGCAGGGAATGAAGGAAGGGGCGTTTCCAGCTCAGCTTCTCTCCCCCTCCCCAGGCTGCAATAATACAACACATATGTATGTACACACACATGTGCAGGATATTCTTGAAGGTAGGGTGCTGTATTTACACACACACACACACACACACACAAACAGATAGGTGTTTTCCAAACTGAACTGCCAAAGAGGTGGGAATCTGAACAGTAGACTCTTAAGTGATCACAGGACATGGAAAATCCCTTGGGAACAGGACATACCATGTTCAAAAATCCCTTACAAACAGGCAAAAATCCCTTACAGGATGTACAGGGCAGGTTCAAAGAGTGACAAACCCAGCTGAGGAGCTGCAGCCCCATCACCACCTCTGTGGTGCGTTTCTGGATGAAATTAGTGGCCTTGCATCCAAGTGCTCTAAGGGCAGGCAGGGTGTGCAGGCAGAGAAATGCTTAAGGCCCATGGTTGGCTGAGAACTGTTTTTTCCCCTCTTCTGTTGGCAAAGGTTAAGTCAAGGAAATAAAAACACTTTAGAAAGTAAAACTGGAGACTCAAATGAAGCAAGTGTTTCATTTTCCTCCCCCTGATCTCTCAGTGCTGGTCAGGGCAGAACAGACAGAGGCTGTGTCTAATGTCACACACTGCTGAAAATAATCCTAGGCCAGGGCTGAGAGGGAGGGAAAGGACAGGAAAGGTAGAAATATCTCTTGAAAACAGAAGTCACTGTCTGAAAATCACCACTCTGCTTGGCAAAACCCAAGCAGGGGGGACTGTGGTGTGGAATGGGGTCTCTCCCCAGGGTGGAAAAGGGTGTGCCTGGAGCAATTCCAGGATCTGGGCACATCCCGTTCTCACTGTGTCCTCTGCCAAAGCCGTGCTGCAGTCACTGCAAGGGAGCTGAGCAGGGGCTGCTTCCGAGCTTCACTCTCTCCCATCTCTGCTTTCCAAACACCTTTCCTATTCCTTTGCCATCAATTGCCCTCTCCTCTCCCCCCCTCCAACTCAGAAATTACCTCTGGACATCTGCAAAACAGGATGAGGGGAAATAAGATCTCTAGAGAAAAGTGGTTTTACAGAAGTCCCACAATGGACCCTTCTGCTTCAAACCATTCCCCTGGCTGGCAGTGACACACTGTCACCAGGAGATACATCCCCAGTGCATGCCAAGAGTGCTTTAGGCTACCAGGATTTCGCCTGGAGCTGCAGCCCTCCTTCCCAAAGCCCCTGTGAACCCAACATGCCCACCCCTGTCTCTGTACTGGTACAGGTGGAGGTAGGCACCGACCTTCAGCTGCATCTTGGTCATCAGAAGGCAGCATCTGATGTTCCCAGAGGCCATGCACCTTTGGGAATATTTTATGAGCCTTGGGAAAGAGAGAGTGACAAAGCTCACCACAGGAAAGGTTAGGCTGCACCACCAGACCTTTGGTTGGGGAAGACGTGCATTCAGCAGATCAAATTTGGAGGGAAATAAGACAGACATGAGCCAAGAGAAGAATTTCCAGATCAGGTTATACACTCCAACCATCCTAATTCAGTGACTGTACCAGAGGCAGACACTGCACAGGCAGCACCTGTGGACCTTTCTCTGGCCCTGCACCCCTTGAGTTCATACATCCAGCTCAGTTAAAGGTGTCTGACAGGTTCTGGAACTGAACTCACTTCTCTTTGCCGCACCTCTTACTGATCATTGCCCTAACCCTTGCCCACAGGCTGCGGCTGCTGCCGAGCTCCAGATCTCACAGTTCTGACCCCATCTAATCTCTGACTCATTTAAAAGCAAAATGTAAGGTCTTTTTATAAGACTCTGTTTTGCAGCAGCCAAGAGAAGCCTAATGGACACCCAAGGGTGTTAGAAGAGCATTAGCCAAAGCACTTAACACCCTCTCTTCTCCCCCTCCCGAGGTCTGGCTTTAGAGCCAAGGTACTCACCCATGAAACCAGGCTGATCCCGAGGGCTGGGAATTTGTCTCCATCTCCAAAATGTGGACAAGTCACAAATCCCTGCTACTATGACTAGGAGGGAGGTAAGAAATCCCCCCAGGACAGACTTGCCCTTGAACAGGGTTTCCCTGCTATAAAGCAGGTCAGTGTTACTCTCATGGGCTCCCAGGTCCTCTCTGTCCCTAAAACCAACTCATGTCTCCCCTTTTCCTGTCTTCCCATGTACTGAGAGACCACAGCCTTCAGTGGGGAAAAAATCCAGAGAAAGGCCTGATCCAAAGCCCCAAAAAATGAACACAAACAGTCCATTGACCTCGAAGGAGCTTGGGCTGGGGCCACAGCACCCTGCAAAGCCCAGCCTAACTTTAGGAAATACTAGATCCAAAACAAAGTCTCCCTATCCCAAACGCAGCCCATACGGCCCTGGGGAGCCCTGGGAGCCTAAAGGCTGCCTGCCAGCGTGCAAGGAACAGAGCAGGTGGCAGCTGCTGCCAGCCTGGCATCAGCAGGAGACTCAACCGGGTCCCAGCATGGCCCCTCCGGGCATGGTAGCTGGTAGCTCAGAGTAGGGACCCGAGGGGACATCTCAGGCTCAGGCTCAGCGTCCACCTACAGCTGTTTCCTGCAGGGCACTTCCCAGTCGGGTGACTAAAGGTGGCTTGATGAGCAGCAGGTACACAGACACCTATCAGAGATCACACACTGCTGTTTGGTCAGGGAGCTGCCTTCTGCCTGTCATCACCCCAGGAGCGCTGGGTAAATACCACCCAGCGTCAGCCAACTGGGCCCTGGCACTCCCCTCCCATCTTCTTTACCACAATCCAACTTCAAACCAAACCAAACAGAAACCAAAACACAAAGTGGGGACTCCAGATGGGACGTAGAACACTTTGGACTTGAAAACAGGGGACTGCAAGAGAGGTGGGGGGGTGTCTCCCAGGGAGAACAGCGAGGGAGGGGAGGGGACACCGTCATTTACACCGAGGAGAAGCTGTAACCTATACACAGTGGTATAAGCCAAGATATATTACATGAAAGAACACACTGAGTGCATGGAGTTACCCACACTGGGTCAAACTGGCACAGTTGTCTTGAACAAGACCCTTGCAGTTGGTGTTTGTTGTTGACCTATCTAGCTCGCTCTCTATATATATAGCTATGTATAGAATTTCTCTGCATGCATTTGTCTCAAAAGGAGCTGTACAGCTGGGCTGGGTTTCTCATCCCCACCCCGTCTCGGTCTTCATTTTTTCCGGGCTAGGATCGCCACTCCCACAATCACAGCCAGCGCAGCCACCGCCACCCCTCCGACGATGATCAAGGGCTTCATGTTGTCGAAGAAGCTGCCCGGTGACTCCTCGGAGCTGTTTCCCTTGTGGTCAGAGTCAGGGGACTGGCCGGCGGCCTCGTGCGTCTCCGTGCCGGCGGGGCTGGGTTTCAGGTTGCTGTGGTTGTTCACGACGGCAGCATCGCCACCCGCCTTCTTGGTGGCAGCAGCAGGAGCGGGCGGCTCCTTGGGGACCTCCTTCTTGTCTGCATTCGTGGCAGGCCCAGGGTTGGGCTTCTCCGGCTTTGCGGAGCTGGCGGTCTTGGCGTCGGGTTTGTTTCCACTTCGGACATTGCCTTTGGAATCCATCCTGCGAGTGCTGTGGGCAGTGAGTGGATGCCACGAGCTCAGGGCTGTCCCAGCTCCTCTCCTTTGCCCGGCTGCCAGAGGAAGCAGAGGAGCCAGCCGAGCTCAAGTCCTCGGAGCAGTTGTCTTGGGATGATTCTCACGCTGGCACTGTCCTACCTGGACATCATACGGCACCTGGAAGAGGAAGCAGAGCAATGAGAGCTGAGTGACAGGACAGAGCAAACCAGTGCTGTTCTGCCTGGAGGCAGTGCAGGAAAGGACGGAAAACTGGAAAACTCTTGGCTCTTTCTTTCGGAACTGTGAGCTGCATTCAAAGCATTTACTACAGACTCTGCATCTGCAACAATCACATAGAATGGCCTGGGTTGGAAGGGACCTCAAAGCCCATCCAGTGTCACCCCCTGCCATGGGCAGGGACACCTTCCACTAGCCCCGGTTGCTCCAAGCCCCGTCCAACCTGGCCTTGGACACTTCCAGGGATGGGGCAGCCACAGCTTCTCTGGGCAACCTGTGCCAGGGCCTGCCCAGCCTCACAGGGAAGAATTTCTCCCTAGTACCAAACTAGAACATTAAACAAGTCGGACTGACTGTCATCTACGGCTGCCATGACCAGGCAAATCGAGACAAGCCCATCCTGCCTGTGTATGTGATGCCATTTGTCAGCCATGAGAAACTCACATCCAACCAAATAAATCTTACTTTGCATTTGTTTACCCTTACCATTCCTTTGGGGTAAGGAGAGTGACAAACGCTGAGGTGGATAGGGAGAGGGAACCCCAGAGCAAGAGGCCTTTCCTTTTACCCCTTGCTCCGAGGGGGAGCGTGCCCTCCCCCTGGCCCCCCCACCCTGCGGCACCTCATGGCCCTCCAGAGGGTCCACCGGCACCGTCAGCCAGGCAGGAGAAATGCAGGCAGAGAGAATTTTATTGTTCTGGTAAAAGCTTAAGTACTTTTCAGGTGGATTACAATGTGACCAGTAGGAGTTCAGGAGCTATTACAAACTAAGCAATTACAAGAAAAGGTTAACAACCAATAGGTGAGTTTCCAGTTATCTCTTAGACATTCCAAAGACACAGTGAGAGATTTTGGGAACAAAAAGGGTTACACAAAGAGTTACAATCACCATTTTAGAAGCATGTTCACTTCAACAACATTACAAACTTCTGCATTCTTTTATATACTGCAACAGGAGAGAGCACTTTGTTCCATGGGAAAATGGATCCATAGCTCCTCCCTGTTCATGTCTCACCCTCCATGCTTCCTTTTGCAGCACTATCCCAAGTTAAATTTGGGAAGCGGGCTTCAAGGGGTTGCAGAACCACCACAAAAACTTCCCCCCACAAACGTCCTGGGGTGGGGGGAGTGATGGAGGAGAGGACACGGCACTGGGCAGTGCAGCACCACGTCAGCTCCGAGCTGGGAAATGACAGTGAGCAGAGGCAGTGGTGGGATCTGAGCCGCCAGCTGCCCTGCCTCCCACTGACATCCAGGGCTGCCAGGAGCCTGCGGGGAGCCTTCTGCCTGCTAAGGGAAATCGGAGCTTATTACCTGTCTGGACTGAGAGTGGAGAGGCTCCTCTAAAACCTCAACAAATAGAGATCCCTTCCACAGCGGCTCAGAGTGCACATCTCTCCTCTAATGACAGCAAGGAGCTCCCAAGGTTGCAGCAATGGTCTGTGCTGCTGACTCTTCCAGAAAATAGGCTGACAAATGTGGTAGTTTCATGTCCATCTAGGCAGGAACGCTGTCCTGCAGGAAACCTGCCCACAAAAATGCCAGGTTTGGGTCTAGAGCAAAGCTGGGCAACACCTTATGGCTCAGCATGAGATGGAAACAGTCCCCTCTCCTGCTCTCCCTTGTAAGCCATTGCTCAGTGGCCACCAGCTACTCCAGTGCCAGTTACTGAGGGAACCGCTGTACCAAAATCACAGAATTCCATGGCTCTCATTGAATATCCTAAATTAGAGGGCACCCACAAGGATTTTAAAGTTCAGTCCCTCACACTGCACTAGGCCTGGTGACCATAAAAACCCCACAGTCTCACTGACTGCAGCTGGACAATCCCTGAGTTTGTGATATTAATATCGATATCAAACCATTTTGGAAAGCCCAAACTCCACTACCCTCCCCTCACACATCACTGAAGGTGTATCAGACACTTGGGCATCTTGTACCACACAAATACCATCCCAGATGCTCACTGAGCTTCAGACCTTCTCTGTGGCTTGGGGTTTGGGAGGTAAACATATTCCTGGCCAAGTGCACGAATGTTTTCCCCTCACTGCTCATTCTGTAATATTTCTATAGGTATCACCTGCCTCACCTTTTTCTACTGCTTCCAGAGAGCACTCCCACTGCTCTGTCAGTACAAATCCTACATGGACCCAGGGCTGAGGCTGCACACAGTCACTCACAAGGACTCTGCTCCTCTGGTTTGGGATGAATTCAGCCTCATTTTCCACCCAGGACAAAGAGGACACAAATAAATAGTAAGTGGAGCCCATGACTAAAGCGGGCTCAGAGGTTGAAGTAGGAAGAGTCAGATTGATCATGGCATAAATATTAAATTCCCTGCTTAGTTGCTTTGGTACAGTTAGCTGGGCTACTCACACACTGATATCCGTGTGGTTACAGTACATGGACCAAGCACTGAAGTTCTGCTCTTTCCCTAGGAAAGCCACGTGCAGCCTGTGGAAAGGGGGTAAATCACAGAGAAGGCAAACTCACATTTTGCTGAGAAATGGGGACCCTGCACAGCCCCAGTACCCCACAGTTCATCCACGGCCCTCACTGACCCGATCTGCAGATTCCTGGGAGCAGGAGAGCTGGTTTTGCTTGAAGCCCATGCTGGGCCACGGAGCCTCATCCTGCTGCCATGCCCTGCACTGCCACAAACAGAATTTCTTGATTCTAAGTGAATTTCCATCTAAAAACAATGCAAACCCCTCACACAGCTCAGAAAAGGTTTTAAAAGATGTAGAAACCAAAGTAAACCAAAAATCAATACCTCCAGTTCTTAAGTGCCCACATAAAAGGGCTTTTGTCTGTGATTTTCCATCACTGGAATTAGCCACAGGATTGCCCAGCACCTCTCCAGACCCTTTGGCCTGACTCCTCCTGCTCCTCAGGACACTGGGGACTCTCAACAGCACACCCTCTTGCATCACAGTACTTAACCCTCTCTTTGTGCTGTTAAGTACTTCCCAGACTCCCTGCCTTGGGAATCATCTCCACTCTCCACTCCTGTATGTCCATGGGTACAACCATGTGCTGGTCTTTAAGCACTTCTGTCTCTCACCCCAGACTGAAAAGAAAGGTGTTTTCCTCATATCCAAAACCTAAACCTGCACATGAGGGTTTCCCCTCCCATCCCTTTGTCTCTTCTTCCCTCCTTCCATCACACAAAGTTTTGTCTCTAATGACACATTTCTCTACCTTTGCTTTCATCTTTGTAGCTCCTCACATCTATTTATTCCTCCCTTCTCCTCATCAGCTGCTGTCTCTGCCTGGCTACCCATTCCTCCCCCCTTCCAGCTCTGTCTTTGCCTCCTACACAGGCAGCAGCACTTGGGAATAAGGTTTTGTGGGAGACAGGATTCATTTCGTTCCTTTCCCCCTCCCCATGCCATTTCTGTTTAACAATCAGTGCCCTTTCAGGGAGGTTTTCATTGCCAGCAGCTAACCAGCTCTTTCTCAGGCTGGGAAGAGGGAGCAGGCATAATAAAACCAGAAATAAAGGAGAAAAAGGGAAAAAGAAAAGCCTTCCAAATTCTCGCTGCTGCCGGAACCGGCACACAAACACCGCGGCTCTCCCGGGATGCTCCCGGTTGTTGCAGCTCTCAAGGTCAGTGCAGTCGGACTCACCCAGCGCAACAAGCTGCCCTCAGCCTGAGCAACAGGCCACTGGAGAACAGCTTTTCCTTGGCTCCCTGAAGGGCACCTTTTCTGCCTCAATTCCCAGCAAATTAGCAAACACATCTATTCATCTGTCTCCTGCGTGCGCAGATGAAAGCTGCATCAATCCTGCTCCGAAGGAGCGGATGAGTCATTGCCAAGCTGTGCCACAGCACTGCTCCATCAGGATGGCCTCTTCCCTCTGCAGGGACCAGCCCCATCCCATCCCCAGATCCTCTCATCTTCCCCTCCTGCTTCAGTCTGGAAGGAAAAGTCAGTCACTTTGCAAGACCAAGCAGCTGCTCCGGGGTGTGGTGCGAGGCAGGAAGCTCATCCATAGGGCTTTTTCTTCTTTTATGAAAAGCAGTACATTTCCATCAGGTCTGCCACACTGAGACTGTCAGCCAGGAAGGATTCAACCTACACAGTGGGGTTATGTATCAGGATTTATCCCGCACCAAAGGCCCACCCCTGCACTCCAGGTGCCCTGCCGTTGAAACCATCCATCTCAGAAATAGCTACTGATGATGTCTGAGCTGGAGCAATGCTGTGCAGACAGAGCCAGAGATGGCAGGAAAGACTAAGATTATACCCTAATCTCCTCTTGCCTTCTTTGCCATTCCTACATGTCTGGAAAAAAGGCACTCATTAACTTGTGCACGCAGCAGACAGACCTCTGCTCTCCGTAAGGGAACACCAATTGGCACCAAAGGTGGCTGAGTTTCTCCAGCGCAGTGGAGGGAGCTGCTTTCCCAGCGCTCTCCCCATCCTGCTCTCCTCCACCTTCTTGTCTAACCCCTAAGGAGTGCAGTTTGGACCACCCTGTCCTTTGGGAAGCATCCTCAGGGGTCTGTGCCTGCTCCCTCTGCCACGTGTGGAGTGATCTGTCAGGGCCGGAAGGGTTTGTGTCCAGTTCCCTGCCCCTTCCCAGCCTCCTCCTGCAAGTGAGCAGCACATTTTGTTTCCCAGCACTTCAACTCCCCAGTTCCAATGGGGGAAAAATAGCATTTCTCCCCTTTTCTCAGCTGCTGGGGGAACAAACACATTAAAGGCAGGGAGATGCCAGGCAGGCACCCGAGAGAAGCGATGGCAGAGTAGTGACTAAGCCTTTCCCATCCCCGAGAAGTGCTGTGAAGACAGATGAGGTAATGCACCGCCTCTTGATATTACCATAAATATTAAAGCAGCTTTACATAAGGAGCTTGTGTTCGCTCAGCTGCCGTGAGCAGCTCCCCAAGGAGGATTTTAGCTCCCTTCCAGCCCTATTTCAGGCCCCCCCTCCTGACGCAACGCACAGCAAATGTGATAAAACACAACGCAAGCACCACGCCAGCCGAGTCACTTGTCACAGATGCTCTTAAACAGCCCCAGTGCAGCAGGAACAGGCTGTGCAGGAGCCCGCTGTGCTTCCCAGCCCTCCCAAACCCAACCCTCAGAGACAGCAGCACCAAGTCACAGCAAACACCATTGACCCACTTCACTCTGATGAGATATTTATGAATCCTTTTCCCAATCTGCTGTTTGCTACTCCCCACATCACCCCCCGCGGCCCTGGATTAAACATTTCCCTCTCAAACAAGCCCTTTGAATCTTGATGTGGAGAGTGTCAGATGCTGGAAGTATTTTAACTGTGGCAGCAGCCTCAAATTGCTGCCATGGGGGGAGTTTTGCCAGCAAAGCCTCGGCTGCGGCATTCTGCGGCTGCTCCGAGTCCCAGCACGTTCACCACTGGTCCAGTTGGGGCTGGCAGTGACCAAAAACCAGCATCCACCACCCCCACAGCCCCCAGAGCACGGTCAGGACCCTGCTCTCCTCTCTCCCACTGTCACCAAGCTGTGTCAGCTCTCCCAGCCCGGGTGATTGGGTTATCCCTGGTGCCAAGGTGAGATGTGGGAACAGCTACCAACTGCACAGAGGTGACTGTAACACCGGTGCTGGTTGACCCTCTGGAGGCTGCCCAGCCACACTGCCCACACAGGTGACACAGCATTTCAGACTCATTTCAGACCAGGAAGAGCCCAGAGAAAGGACATTTATGGTCTCTTTCCACACCATGACCTCTGCAGATGACAAGCTCTTGAGCCAACAGTCATCCTGTCCCCAGAGGTCTCCTGGGATGGACATGGCAGACATTTTAGACATTTTACTCTCCGAGAGACGAGAGACGGAGGAGGCATTGCTGACACACCACATTCCTGCCAGGGAGGGGATAAGCTTTTGTTCTTTTTGGCTTTTTTAACCCCAAACTCAGCTCAAACCTGCCCTGGTAAGACATCCTACCTGTACACAGCCATGTACACAGCAAAACCAAGGCATTACCAAAACAGCCGTGGGAAACAGAAGTTTTGTCTCCACCACGTGCTCGGACTGACATCCGCAGGGGTGGGCACTGAGTTACACCCGGCACGGCCCTGACCCGCTGTCAGGGGAGGAATCACACCCAGCAAGGCTGTACAACTGCCTGCTCACCCGCTCCAGTGCCACCAGCCCCCCCAGCACAGCTGCACTCTCAGACACATCTTATAGAAAAACAGTCCCTAGAATTTGAGAGAATGTGAAAATACTTTGCTGAGACTGGGTTGGAAATACCCTGCTGCAAAGCCTGGCTCCTCAGGGCCCTAACACAGTCCATGTGTCCCAAGAAGAGGGTTCAGAGCACCTCACTTTGCTGTGCTGGCCCAGCTTTAATCCTGGGTTTGATCCCCCTTCAGACACAGAACTAAATGCTGTTTCCCTCTTTATAGTTCTGGGGTTTTGTAGCAGAACAAAATGGTAGATTTTAGCCTTCAGTAGGTCTGAACCCTCTCCCTGGCAGGACTGAGCACCCCTCACCCCAAGACAGAAATTCAGGGAACAAAGGAAAGGATTGTCAGGCAGAAGGACTTTTTTTCCATGGTGGGTTGTTTGTCAGGACACTGTATCAAAGCACTGGCCTGGTTTCAATGGGGAACAGTTCAGGAGATGCAGTGCAAGATGCGCAGCAGTAACAGGAATTAACCCATGAGTGTGACACCGCACAGGGATCTGGGTGCATCCTGCCCCCTACCCTGGGCACCTCCTCCTGTCTTGACTTCTCCAAGGACACTCATTTCATTTTTTTAATGCTTTTCCAGCCCTTCCAGAGCCAAAAATTCAATGCCAGGGACTCTGTGGCACGGGGGACAAGTTCCTGCACTGAGAGGTGGCACAGCCCTTCCTAGGGGAGGTCTGGGACCTCCCGTGACACCAGAAGGCAGATCACCAGAGCCCCAAAGACCAGGAGAAGACAGCCCAGGAGCCTCCTGCTATTGAAAAGGTAACGATCACCCCTCCAAGCACAGCCCTATCCCTTGGCATCGGCGACTCTCCCTCCTCCAGCCCCTGCAGGTCTGCACCGTGTTGGCTCTGCTCAACCATGCAGAGGGAGGTTACACCCCCAAAATACTCCCGGGGAATAGAGAAAAGATTCCCCACATCCATCCTAACACCCTGGCTGGGGCCATGGGCCAGGCCTCGGGTCTCTGCTCAGCTCTGTGTCTGTGGTGCCAGCTCAGGGATGACATGACAGGGGCAGCAAATGTTCCCTGCTTCTTGGATAAGGATGGGCATCCATTCCTTCCCACCACAAAGCACTGCTCCTTACCCCAAGCCTGCCAGCACTTGGGAAAAGCCTTTGGCAAGAAGGCAGATGCTTCCAAATTGGGGTGCTGCTCCCTAAGCAGCCACAGGCCAGTTCCCAGCTGCATAAGGTTGGTTTCCTTTCTGACAGATCTTGCTTCTAAGGCCTCTTCCTGTGGCCAGTATCCCAAATTCAGTACTCTCAAGCAAAAAAAAGGATGAGGCATATATGTGACACAGTAAAATAACCCCAACCACTGCAGGAAGCAGCAGAAAATTTATCATCACTCCCCAGTTTATGGGCACCCATCCCTTCTACCTGATGCAGGATCACACCAGACTTTCATAGCATCGCCCTCTTTGCAGCTCAGCAAAAAGATTTTGGAGGCGACTCCATACGTGCAGAGCAGGGTCTGGAATCTGGCAGCCCCTGGATCTGCAGGCATCAGCCTGGAAACTGTTGCTCTGCAGCTGAAACATAAGAAGCCACTGCAGGCAGACGAGGGGCCAGTTCCACACGAGGCAGTGACCTTCCAGGCAGGCTCCTGGCATGCTCTGGGGTAAAACCCACCCTTTCCCTTGTGCAGCAAAACCAGAGCGCTCTCATTCCCCACAGAAAGCTGGGAAGGATCTGGGAAGGATGACCAAAGCTCCTCCAGCATAGAAATGCCTGCCCAGAGAGCTCCATCCCTCCCTCTGCCCTGTCTGCCTGTCCCTACACCCAATCCAGGATGGGGAGATTGTGCCAGGGCGCTCTCCAGCCCCCAGCAGAGGGGATGGATGCAGAGGGATGAGTATCCAAATGCAGGGGAAATCTGGGATTTCTTCCCCCATCCTTCCGCAATATCACGGGGTTAGAGGCTGGTGTTGAGCACTGTGGCTGAGAAAGGACAGATGAAGAACGCTGAAGGTCAAACCTGTGAAGGTCAGACTTTTGGAGGTCAGGCTGAGATGGAGCAGAGAGCTTAATCCAGCGGAGTCCATCCTCCCTCTCCTGACGGCATCCTGCCCAAGCCCCACCCAGGAAAACGGGGCTGTGCCGGGGGGAGGGAGGGGGGCGGCCGCAGGGGGGGCTTCCTCCTCTTGTCCCAATACCCAAGTTTTTCCAAGCTGACCTCGATTCAATTTTAAAAATCCTCTTCCTTCCCTTCCCCAGAAGCCACTGGGTAGGCAGAGGAGTAAACAGGAGCAAATCAACAAGTCCCTGCAAACACAGGGATGCACATGGGTGCGCAGAGAGCAGGGACATCAGACTGAAAAGCCTAACACGTTCCCAAAGCGTTCCCTCCCTGGAAGCACGCACCGTGACTCAGGAGCCCTGGGCTGGTATCCTCCTCCCTCCCACCTCTTCGGTACAATATTCTCCCTTAAAATAAGCACTTACTGGCTCTGTCTTTTTCGGGTTTGGGGGTTTTTTTTTGGAGGGGTGGGGGGAACAGATTTGCCTTTGTGAGCTCCTTTCAGCACAAGCCGGGGGTCATATCAAAGGATACCCCCCTCCTTGATATCAAAGCCCCCTGCCTAACGAAACAACCTCCTTTCTTTGAAAAGGTGCAGGCTGATCCAAGCTGCTGGCTGTTCCTGGGCATGCTTTCCTCCTGCCTCAGGACTGACAGGATTAAAGAAGAGTCATGAAATCCAGGCAGAGCAAAGGGCAAACAAATCCCACCAGCCACGCAGATGGGAGGGAAAAAAAAGAAAAAAACCAAACCAACAACAAACAAACAAAACACACACACACACAAAACATCAAAAAAACCCCAACCAAACAAAACAAAACCAAAAAAACAAAACACCACAGCTGAGGAAACCGCTCCAAACGTTCCAGGGAGGTGTCCCAGCTTTGCTGCCAAGGCTGGAGCGCTCTAGCCGGGGATGCTGCCTGCCCTCCTCCCTCCCAGCAGCCCTGTTTCCGGCACATGGCCGGCTCCTTCCCCGGCCGCAGAGCCCTCCTGCCTGCGGAGCGCTGCTGCCGCACCCGGGCCTTCTCCTTCCCCGGGCCGGAGCCCGGCGGGGGCAGCGCGGCTGGGACGGCACGGCCGGCGGAGGCAGCAGGTAGGGCAGGCGGGAAGCGGCGGGCAGGAGGCGGGCAGGAGGCGCCCATGCGTTTGCAGAAACGCCTTCTCTGGCTGCCTGACCTTCAGGGAGCAGAACACGGGAGCTGAGGACACGGCAAGGGAGCCGCTCGGGGCCAGCCATCCTCACCCAGGCTCCTTGTTTTGGGTTCAAAAGGCTCTTTTTGCCTCTGACAGGGACAGCTGGACGGGCACCCGCTTCAGAGCCGGCCGGCATGGCAGCCCCCGACCTCCATCCCCGGCGGCTGCGAGGAGCTGGGCACTCACCTTGAGCAGGTAGCTCCGTGTCTCTGTTCCGCTTTGTCACCCTGTGCAGGACATCTGCACGTCCCTCTGCCGAGGGCCGGGACCCCCGGCCCCTCCACCCCGCACCCCCGGCCCAGCACCGTCCCGTACCTCTGTCCTCCGGCTGGACCAGTCGCACCTTGGGAGCTGGCTCTGCGCAGAGAGGAGGGAGGCAGGCAGAGGGGGGGGAAACTTGGGAGTTTCCCACAATGCACCTCTGCAGACTGCATGAAGATGGAGAGCAGGGAGGGGGGGAGAGAGCGCTCCAATCCGGAGGGAAGGGCTGGGATCCGGGGAGGGGGGGCAGGATGCCAAGGGGGGCCGCAGGGTGGTTAAGGCAGCCCAGCTGCATCTCCATATCCCCTGTCGTTTGGGGCTGAGCTGGCTCAGCAGTTCAGGGCTGTCCCTGCAGTGTTGACTCCTCTGCCTGCTCCGCTTGTTTCTCCTCCAAATCCTGCCTGGGTTTGCAGCAATTACAGGGAACAGGGCAACAAAGTGGGGGGGACATACTGGAGAGGAAAAATGGGAGGGGAGCAACCTGATAAATTGGGATGCCTGTGTGTAGACCACAGGAAAAAGGCCAGAATAAGGGATTTCCAAGTGAGATGATCCCCAGCAGGGAATTCAGGAATGGCAAACTGTACTGCTAAGGAGAAGCTCTGCTTTGTGGAGGGAGGACACTGAAATGCTGCACCTTGGGGTAGTTTTGTGCCAGCTCTGCTTCCCTTCTCCCCAGACTCCCCCTTGCCCCAGTGTGCTGGAGTTTTCCCTCCCTTTCCAAACTCTCACAAGGTCTGGGAGAGGCTGCAGGCAGCCCAAGGCCAGACTGGAGCTGGGCACACAGCCCGGTCCCGCTGCGGAGCACTGTCATGCAGCCAGGCACTGCCAGGCACAGCCTCCTCCTCCTTCTCATCCACACCAGCTAAAAGCAAAGAACCCTCCCTGTTACAGCCTCACCCCTCCAGCCAGGCACAGGTCTCAAAATCCCATCACTGGGTCACATCCTGCTTTCATCCCAAACCACAGTAGGTTCAGGGATTGTCTAGAACTCTTTTTAGCCCTTATTTCACAGCAAATCAGGCTGTGTGCTACTTGCCCATCTTCATCAGTTGCTTGGGACCCACTGACAACCTTCATGTAATTTTGGACAAAGAATTGATATTTTAAGAAGATTACACCCAGAAATCCTTGAGAAACAACTTTGTCAGCTCAGCTGCCTTCAGAATAACTCACGTCAGCTCTCACTGAGGTGCTCACTGAGTTTCCTCTCTTCCATGAAGGGCAGCCAAGCACCAGCTCAACCATGCACATGATCAGTACAGAAGGGCCGAAACTCCGGAGAAAATTTGTACCTTGACCCTCTGTGGCTCTGCCAAACTGCCCACCAGTTGCATGTCAGGTACATGCCATGCCCAGAAATACTCAGGCTGCTTAGATCCCACTGTAAAGGAAAATTCTGCCCGCCTTTGAAGTGAACTGCAGAACAAGGAGCCGGATGCAAGAACCCAAATCTCCCAGGAAAGGCTGTGCTTCCAGGGGCTGGTTTCGGATGCAGCTACCCATACTCCCATGGAGCAGGGATGAGCAAGGTTACCTGCTGTAGTCCTTGGCTCCAGGAGCCGGCTGGGCCCAGACAGGCTGGCACGAACAGGATTAGCTGTGGCTGATGATGATGTTCCCTCTCTTCCCTGTCTGGTCCCGCACCCAGCAGTGCCAGCACTCCCTGCTCTTTTAGGGACTTTTACCAGGCACAACCAGGACCTTTCCATGGCTGCAAACAGCTGCTTCCCATTCCTAACACCTCCCAAATTTGCTGATCTACTGGCAGCAGCAGAGAGGGACTGAATTCCTGCAAAGCCGGTGGAAATCCATGATTCACTGCAGGAGAGACCCCCAAACTGCTGCTTCCAGGACTAGTAAAACATTTTTGTCGCTTCTGTATCAGCCAGGAATATCCTCAGCGTGGCAGGAGGAGGGAGGGAGCCTCCTGCAAGTGGAAGTTGCCGGCTCCGTTCCCCAGAGCCTGGATGAGCCGAGGTCAGGGGGTTCTGGCAGCAGTTTCCTTGTGTTCACACATGCTACCTCTGCCTCAGGAGATGAACAGCCCCACGTGATGCTCTCAGAGGCCTCAGACTTGAGTTCACCTTATATTAAAATGCTGAATTTAAAAAATATGTTTTACTGAGGTAGGAAAAAGGGAAGCAAAGGAAATGAGCTGCAAAAACCTCCCCCCCTACCCCTCCCCATGGCAGAGAAGAGAAGGCAGGGAAGCAGCCCCAGAGCTGGGCTGTGCTCCAAAATCCTGTGGCACCAGGCACGGGAAGGACAGACCCCCCCAGAAAGTGGGTCACATCCCCCTTGAACGCGGCACAGGCACAGTGAGAAGCAATCCAGCAATCCAGACTGAGACACAGCAAGGTAAAAATGGCTTTTTCAAGGTCAGAGGGAATAGGAAACCTTCAGAAATGGTGCTACTGGATTTTTCTCCTCCCTCTCAGCTCACACCACATCCCAGCAGGAGTTAGCAGGGATAAGGACAGCCCTGGCTCCTGGGCAGCCCCCCTACAAAACCCACTGGGGGATGTTGGTGGCAGCAGCTTCCTTGGGAAGGAACAGAGCATCATGGAATTGTTCAGGTTGGAAAAGTCCTCTGACATCATGCAGCCCAGCCATTCCCCCAGCGCTACCAAGGCCACCACTAACCTGTGTCCCCAAGTGCCACATCTACATGGCTTTTAAATCCCTCCAGGGATGGGGATGTCACCACTGCCCTGGGCAGCTGTGCCAGGGCTGGACAGCCCTTTTCATGGAGAAATTTTCCCTAATATGCAGTCTAAACTTCCCCTGGCACAACTTGAGACCATTTCCTTTAGAGAGAAACAGTTATTCCTAGAATTATTTGATGTGCCTCTCCTAAAGGAGCCTCTCTCCTTTCCTAGAGCCCCAGTTACAACCCACCCACGACTGGAGAAGGAGGAAAGGGCTACACAGCAGCAAAACCCAGTGGCTGTTCGGGCAGCAGCCATTTCTCCTTGCCTTGAACTCCCGGGAAAGCAGGATGAAGGACGTTTCTCACAGCGGGGTGACTTGCTGCAACAGCCAAGGTGGGTTTACCTGGCAGTAGAAAGTTTTTGCAGTGAAAATCCAAGCCCAGCTACCCATGGGGGGCTATGAATAGCCTGGAATCCCTGAGCAGCCTCCCCACCTGCTGCCATGGGCCTGGGCATTCCCAGTTGGAGCAGTGCTAGTGGACAGTGTCACCACCTCTGTCCTGGCAGCTCATCCTTGCACCGAATTACACGGACTTGTAATTCCTTGATAAACACATTGTTTAAAATCATGGAATCACAGAATGGTTTGGGTTGGAAGTGACTTTAAAGCTCATCCAGTGCACTCAGCACTTCCTGGCAGCCAGGTGGGCAGATCCTTTCCTGCTGGCATGGGGATTAGGGATATCTCTGCAGATCTCCGTGCTTGGAGCCAAGGGCATATCCAGGAGCCCAGGCACAGTGCCTTTGTCCCCAGCAGCACGAGGGGAAGGGGACAGAGGCTGCAGGTGGCCCCAGGCAGTTACATTTGCTCCCAGGTGGATGGAGACAGTTGAAACAGGGGTTGTTGGATCAGGATGTTGAGGGCACCCAGGAGAAGAACCCCTGCAACTCAAAACCTTCACAGTTTGTGTCCTTATTTCCTCTGCCAGACTTAGGGAAGCCCTGAGTGTTGAAATGAGTGTCCGTTGGTGTGTCAGCTGGGCTGGTTGGGAATTCGTCTGGGCTTGGAACTGACTGTTCTCCTCACTGTCACAGAGTACAAGCGGAACTACAGAGAGCACATGGTCCGGGAGTTCCTCCGAGACGGAGAAGGGGACTCCAGCCCCAGGGAGAACCCATCCATCCGCAGCCACTACACCGCCCTGACCATCGCCAGGGAGCCTTGGAGCAGGCAGGGAGCTGAGCATGGAGCTGTGGGATGTGCCAACACCAGCAATGGACCAGCCACCGTCACCGCACAGACGCTGTTCAGACCCGATGAAGACGGGCGAACACCGCGCGTTGTGGTGCTCGTGGGGGCCCTGGGGATGGGGAAGACGACAATAGTCAGGAAGGTGATGGTGGAGTGGGGAGAAGGGACCCTCCACGAGCAGTTTGACTGTGTCTTCTGCATTGACTGTAAAAGCATCGCCCTTCTCAAGGAAGCGAGTGTGGCAGACCTGGTTTCACAGTGCTGCCCTCACCAGCGAGTGCCGGCTGGGAACATCCTGGATGACCAGAAGATCCTGTTCATTTTTGATGCCTTCGAGGCCCTGAGATTTTCCTTGATTCAGCCTGAAGCTGAGCTGAGCTCTGACCCCAGGGAGGTGAAGCCGCTGGAAACCACCCTGATGAGCTTGTTGAAGAGGACTGTTCTCCCAGAAGCTTCTTTGCTCATCACCACGAGGCCAACGGCTCTTCAAAGCCTGAGGCGGTGCCTGGAGGGGGAGTATTACGCAGAGATACTGGGATTTTCAGCAGCCATGAGGGAGGAATATTTCCACAGATATTTTGAGAATACCAACAAAGCTGAGATGGCCTTCAGGTTTGCCAGAGACAATGAGATCCTGTACAGCTTGTGCATCATCCCCATCATGAGCTGGACTGTCTGCACCATCCTTGAACAAGAGCTTTGCAGGAAGAAAAACCTCCTTGAGTGCTCCAAATCCACCACAAGGATGACCATGTCTTACCTCTCCCAGTTACTGAAGCACAGGGACAGGGACAATCCACAGGTCCTCCAGAGGTTCCTTCTCCAGCTTTGCTCCTTGGCTGCTGATGGCATCTGGAAGCACAAGGTCCTCTTTGAGGAGAAGGAGATCAGGGACCATGGCTTGGACCAGCCAGACCTTCTTCCCCTCTTCCTCAATGAGAAAATCTCAAAGGAGAGTGGAGACCACGGGAAGGTCTATGGCTTCAGCCATCTGCACCTCCAGGAGTTTTTTGCAGCAATGTTTTATGTTCTGGAGGACGATGAGGAAACGGTCAGTGACTTGGTGGGGCATGAGAAGGATATAAATAAGTTACTAGAAAGCTACAGTGAGTCCAGGAAGGATTTGAATGTGACAGTGCAGTTCCTCTTTGGTTTAGTCAACCAAAAATCCATAGAGTATGTGGACAAAACCATTGGATGCAGAATTTCACCCCAAGCCAGGGAAGAGCTGCTGAAGTGGCTTCAGGGGAGGCACAGGGGCATCTCTCACCCCGGCCAAGGGCTGAAGATTTCAGAGTTGGACACTTTCCACTTCTTGTTCGAGATGAACGAGAAGAGCTTTGTACAAAGTGCGTTGGGTCATTTCAGTGACCTAGACTTGCAGGACATGAAGTTGACTCTCTACAACCAAATGGCACTTTCCTTCTGCATCCAGCAGTGGGCTGGGCTGGGCTGCATCACCCTCCGGGGATGCTCCTTCCGCTGGCAGGATCCCGGGGTGGAGCTGGATCTGTTGGTGCCTTGGTAAGTCCTGGCTCTCCTTGCTTTAGTGACCCAAAACTGCAAAGCTTTCTCCTCTTCTGCCCCAAAGGCTAGTTTTAAAGGCATTTCAGCTCCTTCCACCCAAGCACCAGCTCGGCCCTTCCCTGGGGGTTTAGTTCCTCAGTGGAAGATTTTTACTTATTCTTGGGGAGCGTAAGGAGTATGTTGGCTCCCCTGTCCACAGCATGTTGTGGGATTGGTGGAGATAGAGCCTCTTGGCTCAACTTCCCAAGCCTGACCAGACCCATCTGTGCGCAGGTGTCGCTCTGGCTTCATATCCCCCTTCTCGCATGCAAAGGGGAGGTCCCTTGGTGCAGAAATGTTAAGTGCACCCTGTGACTTCAGTCACTCCAGGTGGCTCCAGAAGTAACACTTGTGATCCTTCGCACCTCCAAAGCCACTGAGGTCCCACCTGTGAGCTGAAGGCTCTGCTCAGGAGGTTTGTGTGCCAGTGTTGAAGCCAGGAGCTCCTGGCACCAGTGAGGGCTGGGTGTGCCCCACGGCTCTATCCCCCTGCAGCTCTGGAGCGTCGGGAGCTGGAGGACGTCCTGGTGCCATCGCTGAGCTGCGGCAGGAGGAGCTGCACTGCCCCATCCACCTGCTCTGCCGGGCACTGCGGCACCCGGGCAGTGCCCTGCGGGTGCTCCGGTGAGAGACGCGTGCTCGGCGCTGAGCCCAAACCGCGGCTGGGATGGGGGTGTGGATGAGGGCACCCAAACCCAAGGGCAGGGGGTGGGTGGGCGATGCCCTGGGCAGAAGGACAGGAGCCGTCCGGGCACACGGTCAGCCCTCACGGTGCCCCGCTGCTCCCTGGGGACAGCGGCACGCGGCTGGGATGAGGCCGGGCCCCACTGGGCTGTGGGAGGGTGTGGTCCCTCGGGTTGGGTGGGCAGGTGAGCAGCCCGGACTGGTGTGCTCAGCCCGCCCTGCTCTGTGGCTCTCCCGCAGGCTGCAGTGGTGCCGGCTGTCCGAGAGCTGCTGCGCCGAGCTGGCGGCGCTGCTGGCGGAACACCCCAGCCTGGCGCGGCTGGAGCTGGGCGATGGCACGCTGGGCGACCGCGGCGTGCGCCTGCTCTGCCAGGGGCTGCGGGGGCCTGGCTGCCGCCTGCGCGTCCTGCGGTGAGTGGCACCGGCACATGCAGAACCCCCCGGCATCCCACGGGCACCTCCCACAGGCTGGAGTGGAGAGCTGGGGAGGTGCCTTCAAAGAGTCCCTTTGGGGTAGAATTGTCCCTCTATCACCACTCTCCCAGGGCAAAGAGCTCCAAAGCAGTGGCTCCAAAACAGGGTGGGGACTGTCACCGTAGTGGGGTGGCGGTGGGGGCCCCCAGACGGCCTGGTGCCACTGGATGATCTTTTGCACGGGTTCCCACCAGGCTGCGTTATTCCCGGCTCACCAGCACCTGCTGTGAGGACCTCGCTGCCGTGCTGGGCACCAGTCTGTGCCTGGAGGAGCTGGACTTGTCCTTCAGCGAGGGGCTGCGCGATGCCGGGGTGCAGCTGCTGTGCCAGGGGCTCCAGCACCGCGCCTGCCCCCTGCAGACGCTGCGGTAAGGGGCCAACCGGAGCTCCCTCCTTCCCACTTGGAACAGCTCACCGACCAGATGGCCAAACCCCCCCTTCCCTGTTTCCCTGGTCCCGCAGGCTGGGGAGCTGCCGGCTGACGGGCGCCTGCTGCCCAGCCCTGGCTGCACAGCTGCTGGAGAGGCCCCATCTCACCTGCCTGGACCTGAGTGACAACGATCTGGGAGCCGACGGCATCCTGCAGCTATGCCAGCAGCTCCGGCATCCCGCCTGCCCGCTGCGGACCCTGGGGTGAGGGCCCTGGTACGGCCCCTGTCCATGCCCAGCATCCCCATTGCTGGGGGTTGGATGCTGCAGGACAGGGAGGGGGACACCGGCATTCTGGGTGGTTGAACCCCTTCCTCCTAACAAGGTTTAACACCTTCTCCTCTTTTCCTCCATCCCAAGGCTGAGCACAGATGGGTTAAGCCAGGACGTGCTGCAGGAACTGGCCACTCTCCAAGCCCTGAAGCCTGATCTGAAGATCGGGAACCTCCTGGAGCATGACGTGCCAGAGGTGGGGGCCATGGCCCGGCTGCCCTGCCACCGCGGGGTCCTGCCAGGGGGCAGGAAGGCACTTCCCTCCTTCAGGAGAACTCCCCTCCTGTAGGAAAGGTGCTTCCAAAAACCAGAGCCAGTCCCAGCCCAGTTCTTGGTGCTGCCATGTGGGTCTGAGGCTGTGCCACACGTGGGGGCACGGCGAGGACACCCTGCTGCATCTGCAAGGTGTCCAGGTCCTGTCTTCTCCCTTTTCCCCACAGTGTTGGTGGGAGTAACTCTGTGGGTTTGTCAATGCCAAATAAATAAAGACCCTGGAGCCAAACCCAGGAGACTGTGCTCTTCCCCCTGATCCCATCATGCCCACGGATGTATCTTGGTGCCAGCTCCTGCCCCACATTCCCAAGGGATGGCTGATGTACCTGGGAGTGAAGTGCCAGCCCTGGGAGTGAGTCTTTGGCCAGATGGGGGTTTTAATAGGAAAATAATAATAGGAAAAAAGAGAAATTCACATTGATATAAAAGAAAATCCTTACACCAGAGCACTTCTCTGGCTGTACTGCAGTCCTGGTCAGGGAGAGGTGACCTCCGTGGACACAGCCCCCCCTCCCCCGCACGCGTGTCCCCAGGGATGGGGCGTGACGGGGGCATCCTTACTGGGCACTGACATCATCATAGTCCATGTGCCCCGGGGACTGTCCGGGGGGGTCCCCTGTGGCTCCGGGGGGACTTGGGAGGGGGGCAGCTCCCACCTTGGGGACAGCAAAGGCAGGTGCCTGAGGGGGACAGCTCTGTGTTTCCACAGCCCCCGTGGATCTGGTGCAGGATTACAGCCCGCCACCACAGCCAAACCCCCCGTGGAGTGGCTCTCCAGGGAGGACAGGGCAGCTGTGGTCCCTCTTACCTGTGGGTGGGACACGGATCCAGCCCCTCTGTGCCATCCCCTCGGAGATGTCCCCAGTGCTGGCAGGGGGGGACTCCTCTGGCACGGCCGTGGCATCGTCGTAGCCATCCGGGGTTCCAAGACCGGGCAGGGCAGGGGGGCTGGGACTGGCACGGGGGTACATGGCACTGACCCGCTGGCCAAGGCAGGGGCTGGCTGTGCCATCTCCCTCCGCCCGTGCCACCCCTCTCAGCCGTGCCACCAGGGATGTGCTGGTGGCCCTTGGTCCCTCAGGGAAAGGCGATGCTTCTCTTCCCGCTAACGAGGGGGTTGTGTCCCCTCATCTCCCCAGCCCTGGCGTGTCCCCTGTCCCCAGTTCTCCCCGCTGGGTTCCTGCCCTGTGCCCCTACCTGGGGCTGCCCTGGTGTCACTCCCCTCCACGCTGTCCCCGGTGTAATACAGCAGCTTCTTCACTGATCCCTCCCGCGGGGAACCTGGAGGGGGAAAACAGCGGTGTTGGGGGTGGCCGGAGTTGGCACCGCGGGTGACACAACCTCAACCACAGAGCACGGCTGTGATGGGAGCGAGGAACCCCCCACCACGGGGAGGAGCCAGTGCTGTGCCAGCAGGACCCGCTGCTGCGCTGGGACTGTGGGGCAGAGCCCGCCTGTCCAGGCAGAGCTGGGGCACGGGGGCTGCGCCGACCTGGGCGACTGGGCACCTCCTGGTACTCCGGCATGGCGGTGTAGTCCAGCTCCTCGTAGATGGCGTTGGGGATGGCACCCACGGCTCTGCCGGGGCCTGGAACAAGAGGCAGCGCTCACCCAGGGCCGTGGGCACCGTGGCTGGCACCGGGGTCACCCACTGCCCACCCTCCGAGCCGTTCCACACGGGGGGAGCCCCTGAACCCCCAAACCGGCTCTGTCGCGGTACCTCCCCACCGGGACCCACCTCGGCGCCAAGCGCGGGCACGGCACATCAGCACGGCCAGGGCACCCAGGGCCAGGCACAGCAGCGTCCCCAGGACCACGCACAGGACCACTGGCACCGCCACAGTCCCCCTGGCCTCTTGCCTGCTTGGCACTGGAACAGTCCCCCTGGCCACCGCAGGGCCGGTAATGCTGGGGACACCTGTGGGGACACAGGCAGGCAGTGAGGGGAGGGGGATCCCAGCCAGCCTGATGAGGGGACTGCTGGGGGACTGGGGGATAGGCACAGGCAGAGCTACCTGTGCAGGTGGCACCGGCCGGGCACGGGGTGGTTGGTGTCTCGCTGTTGTTGTCACTGTCCTCCACACAAGCCACGTGGGCGTCCCCTCCCTGGCCGCAGGCCTGCAGGTGCCAGGGTGCCGAGGGGCACCCCCAGAGCGAGCGGGCCCCCTCCTCGCAGCCCACCCAGGCCAGCCAGGCGGGGGCCGGGTGCTGGGCGCCGGTGCCAGCTGTCCCCCGTCCCCACAGCCCAGCTGCCGGCACACGGCGGCGGCGGTGCCGGGGCTGGTGCCGTTGGCGCACACGCGGCCCCAGGTGCCGTTGTGGAGCAGCTCCAGGTACCCGCTGCAGCGCCCGCGGCCGCCCGCCAGCCGCAGGGAGAGCTGCTCTGCAAGGGGTGCAGGGGGGTCACGGCACGGCCGGGAACCACCCGAGGGGCTCTGCTGGTCCCCGCCCCGGGGACAGCCGGCACTGACCTGAGCAGATGGCCCCTGCCCCGGCCCCGCGCTCGCACTCGCGCCGTTCCGAGCGCGGGCATTCCCAGAGAGACTCCTCGGTCCCGGCGCAGTCAAGGACGTACGGCCACAGCGTCCCGGGGCCGGGGCCGAAGCGCGCCGAGCCGGGCGCCTCCAGGGCCGCGCCACAGCCCAACTCCCGGCACACAGCGGCGGCGGCCTGGAGGCCCCAGCGCTCCTGGCAGATGGTGCTCCAGGTGCCACTGGCATAGACCTCCACGCGCCCGGCGCAGCGCCCGGCACTGCCCGCCAGCCTCACCCGCCGGCTGCCTGTGGGCATGGAAGGACCAGGCTGGGGGGCTGCTCGGGGCACCAGCACCCCAGCCCTACTCGGGACACCCACCTGAACAGACGATGGCTGCCCCATGAGGGATGTTGGTTGGCCCACTGGTCACTCTCCAGACTGCTAAGCTGTTTAGCGAGACATCCACCTCCTGGGCGCTGCTGATCATTTTCCAGACAGTGTGGACCACTCTTAGCATAATATTCTGCTCCCAATTGCTCATGGTCCAGTAGGGGACCGTACCAACAACAGCATCACTTTTGTCCAGCCCACCGCAGCCCAACATCCCACACATCACACTGAAATTCCATTTGGACAAAAGCTCTCCTGGCACACGGTGCCAGACCCCGGGGCTTAGAGCCAACTCCAGCCACCCGTCGCACCGGCTCTCACCCTCCACCAGCTGCAGGGAGTTGACGACGCCTGTAAAATGACCTGGCTCAGCACTCCCCTCATCACAAAACAGCCCTGAGCGCTCCACTCCCAATTCCTGGGGTGTCCCAAAAGCCCTTGAGGGCTCTTCCCACAGGTGCCACACAGACCTGAGCAGTTGACGGCGGCGGCGTTCCCCGGGGTGCAGGGGCGCTCCCCCAGCACCGCCACGGGGCACTCCCAGTGCCGCTCGCTCCCGCTGCAGCCAAAGGCGTCCGGCCTCAGCGGCCCGTCCCCACTGCCGAAGGAGCCTCCCGGGGGCACGGTGACAGCATGGCCACAGCCCAGGTGGAGGCACAAGACTTCGGCATCGGGCAGGTCCCAGTCGGTGGCACAGACGGACCCCCACGTGCCCCTCACCGCCACCTCCACACGCCCGGCACAGCCCGAGCTGCTGCTCCCCAGCCGGAAGCCCGTGTAGGCTGTGGCAGAAAGGGCATTGAGGGGGGTGATGGCACAGGGACCCCCAACACCCCCGGTGTCCCCGGTGCTTACGGGAGCAGATGATGGTGGCGTGGCCAGCGCAGCCCTGGCTGTGGGGCACCTGTTGGGCGCAGGTGCTGAGGAGGGTCTCGTTGCCAGTGCAGGTGAATCCTCCCTCCCAGAGCAGCCCCATTCCTGCCCCAAACCGGCCGCTGCCGGGGATGGTGAGCGCTGTGCCACAGCCCAGCTCCCGGCACACCACCTGGGCCACCTTCATGTCCACGTGTTCCATGCACACGCCAACCCAGGCCTGGCGCTGCCGCAGCTCCAAACGGCCGGCACAAGCTCCATCACCCCCGACCAGCCGGGAAAACCCTGCGGGAACGGCGCAGCGTTGGCACTGAGGGATGTGCCGGGAGCGCTGTGTCCCTCCCAGCCTGGCTCTTACCTTGGCACACTACCAGCTCCTACCAGTGTCAAAGTCATGGCTACTGTTGTAGGGTCCCCAGCCACAGATCTCGCAGTCCCAGAGTGTGGCCTCATCCCCCTTGCAGTCCACCACGGCCAGGTTGATGGGCCCGGCCCCTGCCGGGGGGACGTTCCCCGTTCCCCGTTCCCCATCCCCGCTCCCTCCAGGCCCAAGCCGAGGGGACGTTCCCCGTTCCCGCTCTCTCAGGGCCCGACGGCAGCGGCCCCCGCTGGGTGAGGGCGGCACCGAGGGGGTCCAGAGGCGACGGTCCGGGAAAGTCCCCCCCACTCCCCCCGGGGCAGCTCCACAGCCCCCCTGCCCTCTCTGCCTCCGGGGCCCTGCTGCTCCCCCGGTTGGCACAGAGCCCCCTGCCCATGGCCCGAGCAATCAGGGCCAGGGCTCAGCCTCGCTGCAGCCGCACCACAAAGGAGCTGCAGGCACCACTGCACCTCCAAACCCCCGGTTTCTGAGGCTGTGAACTAAAAATCAGCAATTCTGCTTGCTCAGGCTCCCGCAGCTCTCCATTTCCTCTCTCCAGAGTGCAGCTGGACTCTGCCAGCCCCAAGACACCTCTGGGACACCTCCAGCCTGGCTGGTGCCGGGCTCCATGTGCTCCATCAGGCAGCTGTTCAGGCCAAGGAGCTCCTCTGGATTTGTACAAAGAACTGAAGCTAAGAAAGGAAAATAAACCAAGTATTCCAGGCTGTCAGGAATTAAGAGGGATGATGCTGGCCATAACATTCTGACTGGGAATTTTATGCAAGAATCTGAGGAAGATGAGATACTCACTGGAGTGTTATGTACATGGATAAGCCAGCCATGAGAGGGAAGTGGGATTCAGCTGATAGAGAAAGTCATGCAATTAAGAACAGGTTTGGCTTTTGCTCTGCCAGTCTGCTCCTTACTAAATTACTTCTGAATTCCTATGATCTCACTCCACTGCAGAGAAAATCCATACAACGTTTTGCTCCTGCTCGTGCTTGGAGGGGAAATGAATCCTGGAGCAAGAAGTTTTTGCATGAATTCACAGCCACCAAGGCCTGACAGTCCCCTGCAGCCAGAGCTCAATCTCAGCACACTCCCTTATTGATGATTTGCTTTAATTAACCAACTCAAATGAAAAAATTAAAACCAAATCAATATTATATTATTCTTTTTAATCAAGAGATATATAAATATTGCAGAATACAAAAGAACCTTTTTAGCCCCAAAACCTCTTAAAAGAGATAGACAGGGAAGGGCTGCACTGCACCCCTAAACCAAGGAGAATTAGGGGAAAGGAAAAACCCAGACTGAGATTCCTTGGAGATTGGTGCAGTTTCTTCCATCCAAAAAAGTCCTTGGTCTGCATGAACACCCACCTGAATCCTTGGAACACGTGATGTCATCAGTATCCTCATGGTCCATTTTATTAAAAGCAGATTTCCACAGAGAATTAATGAAATACCGAAAATTAAACTGAAATGGGAATGAACAGTTCCCCCAACCCAGCAAGTTGCAGCATCCAAAAGAAAATGAACAGAAAGATTATGGACTGGGATCCTCACTAGGAAAGGCAAGGGGAAAAAATCATATTATGAAAAGTCTTCCCAAGTATTTAACAAAATTATTTCAATTTTAGTGTCAAATTTTCAGTCACCAGTTTAAACAGAGTAGCCAGTACTCCCCACTGGAAGCAGGAAGAGTGATAAATCCAGTGTTTAATGACCTTTCACCTTCCAAAAGGAAGGAAACAGACAAACTACATAAACATTTCAACACAGGGTAACGTTCTTAAAGTCAAC